AACACTTAGATTGTCTGAGCTTAGCTCTTCTGAGACGCTCCCCATTGAAGGTTAGCATAAAAAGAAGCTGTGAGACCTGCATATGTATGACACTGATTGGGAGACACGGCCCCATTACATCATGATACATATGAAGTCCATGTGCCTAACTTCTTTCAGCTCTATAGCCAAACACACGTAGTTTCTCTTGTGAAACTGGAATGCTTCCTCCCTACTGACAGGAGCTAATTCACTCTTTCTCTGGCAGCCAGAAAGCTCAGGGCTAAACAGACAAAATCATCCCCTGCAGCTGTGCTGTTCTGGATTCGCTTCCAAAGTCTGCCCTATTCCCGCTGGCTGTGCTCTGCTGTTATTTGTAGCGACTTGTCAAAAGCTACCTCGAGCTTTTTTCCTTTAAGGAATGGTATAAAGAAGTTGTGTGAAAGAATGCGTATACAGAGGGCCTCCCGTCTCACAGAGGTAGCGCAGGGCCATCACCTCACCTTCTCTGTAGAAGGAAGCTTAGCATGGCTGAAGTTCCCTCTGTGCCGCCCTTTGCTGGAGGTACCTTACGTGTGGCCTGGAGTATTAACAAGTCAGTAACTCTCATCAGTTGGCTGAGGTTTCCTGTATCTTTTTATCTTGTTCCTCCACACCACCCCAGAAGTTTTTAATGAACCAAGCATAAACTTGAAGGTGATGTTTTCTATTTCCTGCACGCTTGTTAGCTTTTGTGTTCCCAGTATATGTTCTGATGGATGTTTATTATTTTTGTTGTGGATATATATATATATATATATATATATATATATATATGTCATAATATATAGCATGGTAAACACTTTTAAGTGAACAGTTCAGGGGTTGTAAGTGCATCCATAGTTTTATGACCACCACCACTATCCTTTGTATTCCCTAAATCCTGCACACACCAAACAGTAACTGCTCAATATATCCTTCCCAAGCTCTATTCTGCTCTCTGTTTCTATGCATTTGCTTCTTCTAAATATCTCACGAAAGTAGAATCATTGCCCTTGTCTTATTCCATGTGACATAATGTTTTTAAAGTCTATTCACATTCTAGTCCTGGAATTAGCATACAGACCCTTTATTTTCTCAGAGTTCTTTCATAGTTAATATTCCCCATTCATTTGCTCTCTGTTGACTCTTCTGGCTGCAACTAGGAAGTCAGTGTACAGGCTTGTGGTTGTATGCCCATAGATGCCTATTCTGGTTGTAGTAGTTGGTGACATGGTCTTAACCATAGAAAGCTTCTGTCATGGTTCTTGCTCTCCTACCAACCCCATATACCTTGGGTGAGTGAACTAAAGTCCTCAAGCCTAGATGGGTCCTTTGAGAGAGGCCTCTTGCCAACCTCACTGATGAGACTGAAGATATGAGTGTCACACACATTTGTTGAACTTCGAGGAGTGCTCACTTTTCTTCTGTTTTATTGTGAATGGAACCTCACTGAAGGACCTTCTGCTCTGTCTGAAACACCTTACTGTTACAGTTGTTATCTTTTCACGCAGGATTTAGCTACCTCAGCCTTTGGTATCAAAGGTCCAGTTTCTGGCTGGGGTGGGATTGTACCAAATGAAGAAGTTTGTAATTATGATAGGTGAATATTTGGAAGAATGTGCGACCAGCTCCCATCCGCCCTGTCTGGAGCAGTACTGATAAATGAGTGATGGTGAAGGACAGATGCTTGGTGACAGCGCCTCACCCCAACATCCCACATCTGTTCATGGTAGCCTGACCACCTTGTCGTCCCTTCATCTCCAAATGGAGCACAATGACAGAGTTCAGTGGCACATCAGTAGATAATTAGTGGAGTACAGATCAATAACAAACTCATCACCTAGCAGGTACCTATTTGCTTTCCTAAGATCAAATGAACAAACAAATCAAAAAATCCAAAACCCCTGTAGCTCTCCTTTTAGAACAGAGGGACACAGACTAATTTGAGTATATTTATTTATTTGAATGTTGGGTCTCATGTACTCTAGACTGCCTCAAACACACGACACAGCTGAAGAAGACCTTCTATCGCTGCCTCTCCCGGGCTGGGCTTTCCGGTACACACCAGTATATCAGGTTCTGTATGCCCGCTCAAATGTCCCTCTTCCGCCATTCTTCTGACTGTCCCGTGTGACACTGTGCTCCTTAGGGAGAACATTGCCAGGCTGGTGGCAGGTCCCCGAGAGAAGGACTTTAGTGTGGCCATCGCGCATTTGTGAGCCTATCAGAACTGAGAAGAGTCTCTCGTTCATGGAGGAACTGTGCTTGCAGACTGTGGTCAGGGCTCAGCCACTGTCTGACAACAGGATGAGAAATACTGACAGGACCCTCGTCCCTGCTCTCCCTGCTGTTCCCCAAAGCCCGGGTGCCACCTTGAGAACCTGAGTACTCTTGAGAGCTGTTCAGCCGACACATCCAGCCATGACTCGCACACCATCAGGTGGACCTGGGCGAGCCGAGTGTGGAGTGGCTGACGATAAGCTCCTTTTTTTTTCTTAGTCCTACTGATAAGCATGTACAGATCTGGGAATGAGTGTTCGTCCAGCTCTGGGTACCAGGGAACCTGCACCTGAGCGTGAATGGTCATTCAGGGACTAGACCATGTGTCAACAGAATCGGCTGCTCCACACTTGGACCCCTTCGCTTCGATTTGGTGCTAAGCCCCTGTCCTTCCTGTCCAGGTGAACCACTGTGATGCGTATCTCCCTCCCCTCCACCGCTGTCAGCATCTCCTGTGCATAATGAAGAAAAGCTTACGGCCCACGTAAAGTATCCTAGTGCTGACAAAGTCTTGTTTCTCTGTGTTGCTGACTCAAACCGCGTCGTTAGTGCTGATTTTTACTCTTTTAAAATTGTTTCTGATTGCCTCCCCTGTTCTATTTTGAGATGCCGTGATGAGGAAGATCAAAGTCCCTTCCTTCATAGAAGCATGTGTTTTGAGAAGGGAAAGATAATGAACATACATGTCAGATCAGATAGTGATGTTTGCGGCAAACCCAACAGGACAATGGAATGGGGACCGGGCAGAGATGGGAGATGGAATCCCTAGGATAGGAGGATCTTGGTGGGGAGGCTGCATGGTAAGTAGAAAGGAGCTTAGGTAGAGGAACATCTGAGAGAGATCAGAATTTGACATCTTCTAGTGAGATGAGAGAGAAGCCCTATAGTAGGAAAGAGCAAAAGGAACACCAGGAATTGGAGGAGGGGCAGAGGCGCAGAGGGCCAGGCTAGTGATCCTCACCAGCCTGCATATTAGAACCATCTGAGGAATCGAAAACATTTCTAGTATCTAGGCCCCACCCCCAGAGATTGTGATTTAATTGGTCCGGGGTGGGGCCCTGACATTGGCATTTTATAAATGCTCCCCAACGAATTCCATGGTGCAGCCTGGGCTGAGGACATGAGTCCCCGATATGCGGAGTTTTTAACGACTGTGGTAAGGAGTTGGATCTTAGTTTAGTGGTCAGGGCTAGGGGAAACCATTGGACAGTTTGGCCTAGGAAGGTATCGTAGTCTGCCTTTTAAGAGTCTCTTTAACTATCCCGTGAGGAGTGGAGTTGTTCGAACGACACTCTTGAGAAGTAATGGTGGTTTGGAGCACAGTGGTGTCAGCAGAGATTTAGAGGATGAGTCATGGAGGTTATAGTTAGAAGAAGAATTGGATTTAGGATGTGACACAAAAGGGCATCAAGGTTGCCTCAGAGTTGACTTGAGTAACTGGCTACATGGTGGCTTCCATTCACAGAGGTGGGAGAGATGGGAAGAAGCAATTTTGAGAAGATGGAACCATTCACGCATCAGTTAGAGTAAAAGCCTCCTGCTGGATTGCTCTCTAGGTTTAGAAGACTAATAGATATGGGCAGCCAAATGAGGTTAATTTAAAAAAAAAAAGTCCTGAGAAATCTACTTCCCATAATGCGGAGCATCTTCTTGAAGTCCTCCAAAGCTTAGTAACAAAAACAGTTGTCTGTGTTAGTGCATTGAACCTGTGACCAGAGGGATTTTGGGAAGATACCGGCTTCTTGCATGCAGGACCCAGGCTGGATTGAGGAGAAGAATTTGCTTGAGGAGACTGTAGTATCCTCCACACAGAACTTGCTACAGTAATTGAAGGCTCCAGAACAACATGGTTGCTGATTTTTAAAGAGATTTTTGTTCACATGAGAGCTATTGTATAACATGTATCTAACTCATATTATAATTAATTTCTTTCCCTGACCAGACCCTGGAATCCAGGAGTTTAATAGTAACCTAGATTGTTAAAATGATTGGAATTGTTTACATTTATATGGAGAACTATGGAATTTGTTAGAGGTTGGTTATTCCCCCAGTGTAGGAAATGGATTAAATTGTGTAGGTGGAACATTATCAGTTGGTGTATGGTGGCAGGAACAGGGGCAAACTTGAAGCTTATTGAAGGCAGGAATAGTTTCTTAGCTTTTTAAATATCTATCAATGATGCTCATTCTGATATTTTTTGTTGTTGTTGCTCAAAGAAGTTATGAGATCTTTGCTGAACTTCTAGAATTGGTGTTGGTCTGAACAAGAGGGTTTGACGAGAGTTTGAAGTCTCTTCTGGGGTGCTTTGCTCATACTAGAAAAACCCAACGTGGTTGCCTTTGACTGAAAGGCAAGAGAATTCTGGGTGGTGCAGGTATCTAGAAAACGGCCAAAGTTGGGGTTGGGGATTTAGCTCAGTGGTAGAGCGCTTGCCTAGCAAGCGCAAGGCCCTGGGTTTGGTCCTTAGCTTCGGAAAAAGAAAAAAAAGAAAATGGCTAAAGTCTAAAACTCCTTAATAAAAGGTCTGTATTGGCTGCAAGCCTCAGGTAGCAGCCAGTGTGATGAGACTGAATGATGTTGACCTTGGAAATGTCATTCTCCATTGTTCTTCCATTGCTCCCAAATGAGCCCCTTATGGTTTAAAAAAAAAAAAAAAAAACCAACCCAGAGCATCTGTTACCAGTCTACCTATTTAATGGATTTTATCCTCATTCCCTCAGATAACTGCAGTGACCTGAACTCGGAATTGCAGAGGGTGCTGACGGGGCTGGAGAGTGTGGTCTGCGGCAGGAAGAAGAGCAGCTGTAGCCTCTCGGTGGCCGAGGTGGACAGGCACATCGAGCAGCTCACCACAGCCAGCGAGCACTGTGACTTGGCCATTAAGGTGGGCCTCCCTCCCCTTCCGATTGGCTTTCTGAGGGGAGGGGAGGGGAGGGGAGGGGAGGGGAGGGGAGGGGAGGGGAGGGGAGGGGAGGGGAGGGGAGGGGAGGGGCAGACTCCTTTCTTGGCAATGGATTTTCTTGAATACCTATTAGCCACTGAAAGCCATACAAACATATTGAGCCATCAGCTAGAAGCAGGAGCCCTATAAATATTTGTTGGGCTAAATTATTTCAGGAGAGGGATATATCAACAACCATGAGCATGGGCTGTGCACTAGAAAGGATGATTTGCTTGGAACCCATTACATTAGCAGCATTAAACTATGTCATTTTGATGTGGTCCACCATAGTATTTTTTTTTCTTTTCTTTTCTTTTTGAGACAGGTTCTCATTATGTAGCCCTAACTGGCCCAGTACTGTAGACCAGGGTGACTTAAATTTATAGAAATCCACCTGCCTCTGCCTCCCAAGTGTTGGATTAGAGGTAGGCACCACCACGCCGAGCTGCTATAGTATTCTTATGTCCCAAGTTGACCTTAGATGCTTTCTTACAGATGTAAGGTTTCTAGAACCCAACTCTGTGAGATCTCAGTCTACGCTGTCCAAAGAGGGAGGGGTAAGGGTCTGGCTGAGTCACCTCATCCCCAGCCAGTGTATCTGGGTCTTGACCTCGCCTTTCACACGTTTACCTCTTCCTTCTGAGAAAAGACTGAGTGAGAGGAATTCTCAGCGTGTGCACAGCCTCGCCTCTTTCCGAATAATGGGAAAGTCAAGCCCTACTTAATCCCGGGCCTTTGGTGTCTTTCCATTACTTCATTATGGCTTAGTGGCCTAGGCCTTCCAACCCACACTTCCAAGTCTTACAGGAACTAATACGAAGGGACAGTCGAGTTCCAAGTTCCTGTTAGAAAGAATTCGGGATGTCCCAAGAGGGCGGTAGTGCCTGTGGGTGAATCATGAAGTGCATGACCAGTACAGCTGCCTTTCCATTTTTCTTCATCACGGTCGCCGATGGAGAGGTCATAGGACTTGGCATCAGAAGAAGCAATCACTCACAGATGCTTCTTTCAATGGAGTCTCCCAAGTCCCAAATTTGATTGTATGACTGACTTGGGAGCAAGTGCTGGCCTCAGCGTCGGTGGTGGGCAGGGACTTCTGGCAACTAGCTATGGTGGAAGTGGAGCCAGACTGTCTTGAGTTTGAAAGGAAGGACAAAGCACTACATGACACTGGGCACCAGTGGCACACGCCTTTAATCCCAGCACTCGGGAGGCAGAGCCAGGCGGATCTCTGTGAGTTCGAGGCCAGCCTGGTCTACAGAGCGAGATCCAGGACAGGCACCAAAACTATGCAGAGAAGCCCAGTCTTGAAAAACCAAAAACCAAAAACCAAAACCAAACAAACAAAAGCACCACATGGGGACAGGGGCAAGAAGACTTGGGTGCCTGTCTTCCTCGGGGAGCTGGTGTGAGTGGCCTGCTGCTGTCGTTAGTGTTGAGACTCTTCTGTTTCTCATTCCTGTGTGATTTCTCGGCTCAGCAAGTCCCCTTCTGCTTAAACACTAGCTGACCTATGCTCTTTCTAAAGGACAATATGGATGAATAGCTATCAGAGCAAGCAGAGGACAGTCTTCATAATCATATGCATCTTCCTGATCCTTGAATCGTGTGTTTAAGATGAAAAGTTTTGAAGAACTTTCCAGATAATCTTAAGATTTTCTTCTACTTGGTTCATAGCCATCTTATTAACTAACTGAATCCCTGCTGTCTGAGGAGCCTCTACTATGGGCCCGCTCTTTTCTGTGTCACCTAAGCTTTATTTTTGTCTTTGCCATCTTGGGACAGAACCTCATTCACACCATCTGAATTCTCATGTGACACCAAGAGTGGGAAATGGTGATGTGACCTGCCTTATTGCTGAGCTGGCTCACGGAAGGCCTGTAATTTAGGAAACTTACAATTAGACTCTGTGTGCATCCTGCAACCTCGTGTTAGTCACGGCATTATCAGGATCACTCACTGGCCTGCTGCCTGGATGCAAATTGACCAGCTCTGGAGCCCCTAAAGGAAATAAACATTGTGTGGGTGCCACACACAGACTCAGCACCAAGAAAGGGATCCTGTTGTCCTTAACTCTGGGGACTTCTGAGGAGCAGAAACTATGATGCAGGCAAGTGACAGCCTCATCTGAATCTGAGGAGAGAATGACCAAGAGGTGTCACTGTGTGCATAGGACTCTCCACCCCACTCCTGGGTTCACAAGCTCCTTCCTGTCCCCCCTTTCCAAGGGAGCTAGCATGGCTCTGATGTGTGACCATGTTTTTCAGACAGTTGAGGAGATTGAGGGAGTTCTTGGTCGTGACCTTTATCCCAACCTGGCTGAGGAGCGGTCTCGGTGGGAGAAAGAGTTGGCTGGATTGCGGGAAGAGAATGAAAGCCTGACTGCCATGCTGTGTAGCAAAGAGGAGGAGCTGAACCGGACCAAGGCCACTATGAACGCCATCCGTGAGGAGCGGGACAGGCTCCGGAGAAGGGTGAGCATGCAGCCAGGCCTGCCTTAGGCCTGGGGGTGGGAGGGGTGGGCAGGAAGAGCCAAGGACATCCTAGGGAGAGACTCCAGAGTGTGGAATCCTAGGGAATCTCAGTCTTGGGAATCGCCAGATCCTTCCAGTTCTGAAGTCATTCATGAAAGTAGTTCAGAGATCCTTAGGGTAGAGCTAAGATTATAAAAACACTCTTCTCAGGAATCCTAAATCTGCATAGATGGTAAAATTATGTCAGGGCAGCAAGTCTCAATCTACTCTATTGGGATGTTCTTCTAGCTCAATTAAAATATCCTGTTAAGACAGTCTAAGGATATTTTCATAATTGAAAAACAGATATTTCTTCCTAATTCTTTCCACATTTTCTCCTCTCATTTATATTGAATAATATAAAAATCTCTTCTCTAGACTATTATAACTGTATGCATACATGGGTGTCTGTGTACTTGTGTATATATATGAATACACGTGCATTTGTGTGGTGTGCACATGTGTGGGTTTGTACAGGCGTATGTGAGAGAGGTATCCCCACAAGGACCAGCACTGGTTTGAGAACTACAGTGACAGGACATGTTTCCGTCACTGAAGATGCTGGTATTCCAACAGTGAACTTTTCCAAAGATGGATGCCCACCTGCCAGGGCCTGTAAGTTCTTCTTTGTCTGGCTATGCCTTTGAACTATGATTGGACTCAGGATGGAAGGATAAATTCTTCCATCAGAAATGACTCTTTCTAAACTTCACTTTGAATGATGAGGCTTCCTTGACTCTCAGTCTCAATTGAGGCAGCATAGGATGTTGCTCCCCAGCCACACTCTAGCTGGTGATTGGGCACTTGGAGTGGCATGAGAGGCATCTAGGAGGCTGGTGGACCATTAACATTGTTGTGTCTCCTTAACCTGGGAAGTAACTTGTTCTTCAGTAAGGTTGGCATGTGTTAAATTGTTCTTTTTTCTGTTTTTATTTTTTGTTTGTCTGTTTTTTGAGATAGGGGTTTTTTGGCGGGGGAGGGGAGTTTGGTCTCGTTGTTGTTGTTTTGGTTTGGTTTTTCAAGACAGGGTTTTTCTGTGTAGCTTTAGTACCTGTCCTGGATCTCGCTCTGTAGACCAGGCTGGCCTGGAACTCAAAGAGATCCACCTGACTCTGCCACCCGAGTGATGGGATTAAAGGCGTGCACCACCACCACCTGGCAAGATAGGGTTTTTCTGAGTTACAGTCCTAGCTGCCCTGGAACTTGCTTTGTAGACTAAGCTGGTCTCGAACTCCTAGAGATCTACGTGCCTCTGACTCCCGAGTGCTGGGATTAAAGTTGTGCACCACTGTCCAGGATCATTCTGTTTTTTAAAGCTCTATTGTTATTATTTTGATTATGTATATGTCTGTGTGCCCATACATGAGTATTTGCTCTCGAGAGAGTACAGATGCCTGTAGTGTTGGCCTGAGGGGTTGGATCCCCTGGAGTTGGAATTACGGGTGGTTGTGAGCTGCCCAGCATGGATGCTGGGAGCTGAACTCCAGTCCTCTGGAAGAGCAGTAAGCCAGTGTTAACTGCTAAGCTATCTCTCTAGTCCCAGTCATTCTGTTTTTACTCTGTACACAAATATTCTTAATTTTCATTGGATGTAGATACAGAATAAATGACTAGTTTTGAAGGTTGTCAACTCTGTCAGCCATTGTGGGTAATGTCATAATTACAGAGCCACTCTCCTGCCTCTATCTGGACAACATCTTTCTAAACCCTCATAAGCATGTGTCTAGAACTCAGCTGTATCTGATAGTCCCCATGGGCATGCGCATGGGGGCTGTAAACCTCCCAGTCAGCAAAGACTGTGTCTGGGGATCGTGATGATGTTGACTTAGCATGGAGGCCTACACCACCTGTAATTTCCTGGGTCACACTCCCGATCTTCGTGAGGATAGTCTAATTAGGTGTGTGCTTGCTCTTGCAGTATGCATGCTGATGGCTCATATTTTGCAAGGGCAATGTGGGCCTTCAACGTAACCATGTATTGTTGTTGAAAATACTTTTTTCCCCTCTAACATGGGTTAGTGAAGCACAGAGCACCCTTGGTTGTAACTAACAAGAAAAAAAGTCAGTCTCCCCCTCCATCCCAAGGATTTTTTTCCAGCTCTAGAGGCCAGCATTAAGAGCTCCATACTCTGGAGGGACATCATATACCAGAGCCCCAGAACCAGACTTCTTGGACTCACAGTCTGACCTACAAAGGTACTCTGAGTCTTTGGCAAGATACCTGACCTCTCTGGGCCTGTTTCCTTCATCGTGAATTTGATGATGATACCTGGTTCAGGATGATTAAATAATACTCACGAAATACTTACACTGTACTCAGCATGTAGTATATACTCAAAAATGAGAGTAGTTGTTTTGAATAAAATCAAAATTTGAGTAATATGGAAGATTTACCTTTATATCTTTTTATCCATAAAGATCCTTAGGTATTTGAATATCTCTAATCTGGACAATGAGTAATTAAGTATAAATACATGCACATGTGAGTTCATACACGTCAGTCAAAAAGATATTATTTTTACCCATATGTTTGTGCCATTGTTACAGTTTATATAAATTTATATCATGTGTACCTCATTGATCTTCAAATAGCAAAATTTGAAGGAATGTGCATTATTTCTTCAAACATCCTCTGGAATTTGTATATTTACCCCAGAGCTGGATTAACTTCTTTTCATTTCTAGACAGTTGTGAATCTTAAAGAATTTTCTAAATGCTTTTGAATGCCAGTTTTTTTAGACTTTAAATACTGGAAGCCTTCCACCCCACACTACCCAGCACAACATGTCATTTCCGAGAAGAGGGATCTGTCTCTGTGGTCCAATGTTTGCCTGATCTGCAGTCTTTGAGAGTGAAGAAGGCTCAATTTCATTTTGGTCTCTGTGAGTCTGCATAGTGTGTGGCTGTTTTGCCTTTCTGTCTCTGTCACAGCTCTGAGTCACAATTCATCCATGTTGCCTAAAAAGCAGCTGGGGCCACATCTTTTCCCTTTGCCCATCTTCATTGCTTTGACTTGGACTAGATCAATAAAATGGGTGCTTGTCCCCTGCCTGCAATTAAGGCAAGTGCTCTCCATAGGTCTTCTGAGCCTTGTTCAAGATTTAATTAAATTAGATCTTTAATGCAGTCAGTTAACAAATTGGGCTGCTTGGCAGAGCAATAACTAAAGGACGGTAGGCAAATATCATGATGGGTCTCTGTTCATTATTGCATGAGATAATCATTTGTTTCTGAGTATCCTGTAATATGACCACTTCTTTCCTCATACTTACAAAAGCAGATTCAAGCTCAGCAAAGTAGAATCAATGACTCAAGAAAGGAAACACTTGTTCTTTCATTCTTCTGTGCTCTTCATAAATGATTAGTCTTCTCTGGCCAGGTAGGGGTCACAGTGATGCACTGGAGACAATTCCCGGCTTCAAGGATACTGGAGAGTCGTTGCAATGTTATAGGTTGGTGGGTAAGGACAATGGGCACAGATGTACACTCCAAAGAGAAATGTGCTGGCAAGTTTCTCCACACTGTTTGCCCTTTTGACCTCAGTTGCTGAGGTCCACTGCCATGCCACCAAAATTATCAACTCTTTCCCCAGGCTGTTTGGCAGCACAGGTATTCTGGGACCACAAAGGCAGTGAATCCATGCCCTGTTGAAACAAGTAGACTTGAAACAAATAGACCAGAGCAGTCCCTTTGGAATCCTTCTATTCTTTAGAAAGTTGTGCGTATCCATGGCATAAGGTGGTGGTAACAATCTCTTCCTTCCCTGCATTCTACCTGTTCTTTTCCGTGTATCTTAAAGTGAGTTCCACTTCCCTCTCCATGGGGGTCTGCATTATGGTTGGACTCTCTGGTCAGCACCATAGTTGATATTAACTAACAGCCCCACAATTCAGGCTCTGGCAGCCTCATTTCAGGATGCACTTTTCACTGCTTTCTTGTGTCCTCTCTCCACCCTCTTCTTCATCCTGTTCCTTCCTCCCACACAGACTGGCAGTTAGTAACTATTCTGTTAATTGTGACATGGCTGTCAGTTTCCCTGGGTCTCAACAAATCTCCTCTTCTGGCATCCTATGACGGCCCTAAGTGAAAACAAACTGATCTCAGGAGAAAGCTCTTTGTGGGTGTTACCCTAGGTGATGCAAGCCCCTCGGAACATAGCTGATGAAGCACACACACACTCCTTTCCTGCCGAATGATGGGGAAGCTTTCTGTGGGACCTCCGGCAGAGACTTGTCAGAGCCCTGGTTGAAGGGATCCAACAGTCCCTTCCACACTCTTAATGCTAGGATTGTAGACATGTGCTATCACTCTTAGCCTGGGGCTTTTATTTTTATAGTTGCCCCTTCTTTGTAGCTCCAGAGAGATTCTTTGTGCTATCACACCTAGCCTGGGACTTTTATTTTTTATAGTTGCCCCTTTTTCGTAGCTCCAGAGAGATTGTTTGGGCTTGGAGAGCAGCTTGTTCTGTTCACTTTTCACAGACAGATGTGGTAGGAAACCTTCAGACTTTCTTGGGCACAGAACTGTTTGGCCCACGAGCCTACTCCCTATCTCTTGCCCTCCTGAATGTCCCCTTCCTTCCTGTTCTCTGTAATGTCAGCACTTGTGTCTGCCACCTGGAGAGTTTACTGTCTTTCCTCTAACCTTGGCAATGAGTTTCTCTCTCACAGTGGTACCTTTTCCAGCCAGCATTTCCATGCATTGTTAATAAGAAAGGCCGTCTAATGCTGAAGTTTTCAGTTGCTCTGTGTGCAATTACTGGAGCAGCAACCTTTGAGCAGCTGCTTTCAGCCCTGGTCCTCACATTTGTCCTCGGGGGAATCCGTCAACGTGGATCCAATCCCCACTGCCCATCTTGTGGAGATACTGCCACCTCCCTTCAGATACACCACAGAATGCTCTGTTTCTTCCTTCAGTGGGGGTTCGTCTTTCTGCTACTTGGTCTTTATGAAATATACCCC